TCAAAAATGACAGACCGTCAGATGTGTAGATCGTAAAACGGTCTAAAATCGTCATATCGCCCAGCCCTAGTGGGGACTTTTCATCCGCTTGTAGAGTTTAGTCTTTCTTAGCTTTACGATCATCATCATATATTTTTTTGTGCGGCACTTGATCGTGAGACCAGTGGCGGCTCCAGAAATGTTTTTCTGCAGGTGCTATGAAGGAGCTAGTCTTTTTATTGAGGGTGCTATGAAGGAAGTGGTCATGCGTACCTACAGGTGCTGGCCAGTAAATTAGAATATCATCAAAAGGTTGAAAATATTTCAGTAATTCCATTCAAAACGTGAAACTTGTACATTATATTCATGCAATGCACACAGACCAATGTATTTCCAATGTTCATTACATTTAAATTTGATATTCATAAGTGACAACTAATGAAAACTCCAAATTTGGTATCTCAAAAAATTAGAATATTCTGAAAAGGCTGAATATAGAAGACACCTGCTGCCACTCTAATCAGCTGATTTACTCAAAACACCTGCAAAGGCCTTTAAAAGGTCCCTCAGTCTTGTTTTGAAGGCACCACAATCATGGGGAAGACTTCTGACTTAACAGCTGTCCAAAAGACAATCATTGACACCTTGCACAAGGAGGGCAAGACACAAAAGGTGATTGCTAAAGAAGCTGGCTGTTCGCAGAGCTCTGTGTCCAAGCACATTAACAGACAGGCGAAGGGACGGAAAAAATGTGGTAGAAAAAAGTGTACAAGCTCTAGGGATAACCGCACCCTGCAGAGAATTGTGACGACAAACCCATTCAAAAATGTGGGGGAGATCCACAAAGAGTGGACTGCAGCTGGAGTCAGCGCTTCAAGAACCACCACGAGGAGACTCATGAAAGACATGGGATTCAGGTGTCGCATTCCGTGTGTCAAGCCACTCTTGAACAAGAAACAGCGCAAGAAGCGTCTCGCCTGGGCCAAGGACAAAAAGGACTGGACTGATGCTGAGTGGTCCAAAGTTATGTTTTCTGATGAAAGCAAGTTCTGCATTTCCTTTGGAAATCAAGGACCCAGAGTCTGGAGGAAGAGCGGAGAAGCACAGAATCCACGTTGCATGAGGTCCAGTGTAAAGTTTCCACCGTCAGTGATGGTGTGGGGTGCCATGTCATCTGCCGGTGTTGGCCCACTCTGTTTCCTGAGGTCCAGGGTCAATGCAGCCGTCTACCAGGAAGTTTTAGAGCACTTCATGCTTCCTGCTGCTGACCAACTTTATGGGGATGCAGACTTCACCTTTCAACAGGACTTGGCACCTGCACACAGTGCCAAAACCACCAGCACCTGGTTCAAGGACCATGGTATCCCTGTCCTTGATTGGCCAGCAAACTCGCCTGACCTTAACCCCATAGAAAATCTATGGGGTATTGTGAAGCGGAGGATGCAATACGCTAGACCCAACAATGCAGAGGAGCTGAAGACGACTATCAGAGCAACCTGGGCTCTCATAACACCTGAGCAGTGCCACAGACTGATCGAGTCCATGCCACGCCGCATTACTGCAGTTATTGAGGCAAAAGGAGCCCCGACTAAGTATTGAGTGCTATACATGCACATTCTTTTCATGTTCATTCTTTTCAGTTGGCCAACATTAGAGAAACAAACATTTTTTCATTGGCCTTTAGAATATTCTAATTGTCTGAGATACCAGATTTGATGTTTTCATTGGTTGTCACCTATAAATATCAAATTTAAATGAAATGAACATTGGAAATACATTGGTCTGTGTGCATTGCATGAATATAATGTACAAGTTTCACGTTTTGAATGGAATTACTGAAATATTTTCAACCTTTTGATGATATTCTAATTTACTGGCCAGCACCTGTATTGTTCTCTAAAACACCTTCAACACTAGCAGATACACATGCGTGCACAAAACCTCCTGAAACAATCAACCCTCGACCGCCGCAGCGAAGATTGATTATTCTCTTCATCCACATCCATAGGTTTTTGTGGGTCTGAGATCACTTCCAAAGACTCATTCGTTTCTGACTGAACCCGTGGAAATGTGGGCAACAAAAACCGATCCATTTTACCACTAGCTCTACCTTTCACTCCGCAGGTGGAAAATGAGGTCAAAGGTTAACATCAATTTCCTGTTTTGGTTTAAGTTTTTACTATCTATATGATAATTTACTGATAATTTTTGTTATGTATGTTAAATATTATCACATCCACACGTTAAATTAAAATAAAATTCTAAAAAAAATAATATTTACTTGGGGGTGCTATGACTAATCCAGGGGTAGTGTTGAGGTCAAAAATGATGGATACCGACCTCCCCGAGTTGGTTGATGTGGATGGAAAACAACCGAGTCAAATCTAAGGATCGAAACAGCTTTAATGCACAATCAAAAGAGAGTGGAGACCACCATGGTGTACATACATTAAGTGTTCACACGGCGTGCTAGCAATGGTCTGACCCGAACTGAAGATGTCAAGTGTTTAAGTATGTGTCTGGCTCGTTCCCCTGGGGTGTATCTTCTTGTGATAGGTCGAGGAGCGCGTGATCGGCTCATGCTCTTGTTTCTGGTTGGGTGTTGAGTGCGTGTGCAGCTCATGCTGGATGCATGAGCTGTGAGTGTGTGTGAGTGTTGTTCGTTTCGCTCTAACGCTTCGCTACCTCCAGGTGCAGCTCATGTAGTAGAATGTTCCAACTGTCGCTGGGACTTTCCGTGTCTGTGGGGGCCTAAATTGACTGTTGTCAGGTTGAGTCAGACCAGGCTTTGCACTCGCATGGGTGTCTCAAAAGGTCACATCTGAACATTGTGTGATGAACAATGTATTGGCAAATATGTCATATATCTCAGTAGCTATAGCGCCCCCCTGGTGCTGCCACTACGTGAGACTGCTACCCGTTAGCTTTAGCATTAGCCAATCTGCGTGTAGCTGCACTTTTGATCCCAAACTTTGGACCGGTTCTGCCTTTGTGCCTTTGCTGGTTCCTGTATTTCCTCCACTGCATCCAGATGACCACACTGTGTGCCAGTAAAAAGCATTTTTCTTACACCTAACTTACTTTTGTTCAATAAAGCTCTGGGGAAAGTAGTAATTCAAAGATGTTGCACCAGTACTGCGTTTAAAAATAGACAGACAGTTTATTTCATCGCACTGTACAGCCCTGCTCTGATATGGAAGAGCCTGGGGGAAATCAGGACGTCAATAGCACCAACCATAGACTACATTTACATGCAGCCAATATCCGGGTTATGATCGGGTTAAGGTCGGTATTCGGGTTTCTGAGTTGATCAGAATAACCCGTTTACAAGCATAAATAGAAAGAGTTATCCCTAACTTGCATAACCCGATTTAAATGTGGACGTTGGTGTAGCGTCAGGACGTATGGACTATGTCCAGACGCAATATGCGTCATTTCCGGTTCTTGTTCCGGTATCCATGAAAACAACAACTTGTTTCCCAGTTCGGAAGAGACAGCGACCGCGTTTGTTTGCGCTTTAGTATCTTCGTCACTCCAAAAGTGTGGTGCTGTGCCGCGACTCGCCATGTTGCTCCCAACTTGTTGTTTACTTCCGGTGTTCTGGCGCATACAAAACGTCTCGCTACTCAAAAGATCAAGATTCCTTGCGAACAGAGCATGCGCAGAACACACGCTTTGATGGGGATATCCCGATATGCGTTTACACGACCAAACATTCGTGTAGTGTAGTGTAGTAACCGGGTTTTTAAAAACCCGGTTATGAGCATATCCGGGTTTTTGGCGGTGTTTACATGGCCGTGCGGAACCAGGTTATTGTGAATATTCGGGTTTTAAAAGGGTTACTGGCTGCATGTAAACGCACTGATAGATATGTACCATCTAGTGAGAAAAGCTATTTTTGATCTTCTTTTTCTGCAGCAGTTTTAGCGCTTTTCGGTGCACCGCTGCTGATACAGCACCCCTGTAGTGGTGCAACGCTGCAACTGCAGTTAAAATAACATCCATATAGCTGGGGACAGCGTGAAATCAGGCTGGGGCGGCACAAAATTAGCTGGAGGCGGCCGCCACGCTAATTTGAACAGAGGAAAAACCCCTTGTTAGACAAGAATCAATACATTTTTATGCATTTAATCTACTGAATTATGTATATAATTTCTCAAAACAGCTTGAAGTAAGTTGACTTGTAAATATTTTATAGGAGGAAACATATCGAGATATATATCGTATATCGGAATTCAGCTAAAAAATATCGAGATATAAGTTTTCGTCCATATCCCCCGGTCCTAGTCTGCTCCAACGGAGATCAGCAACTCCTTTACACTAACTAAGCAACTGCAGGGAAAAAAATCCTGGTACTGCCCCGTAAATTAGCTTTTAAAAAATTGTTCTTGGTGAAGCTCCCGCTTTAATTACAGTCCATCAGACATGACAATAATGATGTAGAATAGAAACTGGAAATCAGAAACTTTTAGTATAAAACAAAAATTAAAGCATGTTCCCTCTACTAGAACTTCGTTTAAGTTGTAAAGATAGCAGTATCTAACTACAAACATGTTTTCTGTTGCTAAAAATGTGCAATGACGAGCTCAATTTAGAGGATTCTTCAGGCTGAAGACTTGATGCAAATATAATCATGAGACTCTGGATTTTGTCTGCTTCATGTGGAAGGTTGTGCAAGGCACCGCATTTCCAAACCTAGTCGTTGTTTACTCTTCATAATCATTTCCAAATAATCTGACAAAAGCAGAAACAGGTGTGGGATCGCTAAGAGGTATTTCTTGGTAAAAAAAAACACTTTGTGGTAATGTTGACAGATTGTTACTACTAGAAACTAAATATTAGATTAGAGCTATCTGTATACAGAAGACTAATGGACGCTGACATTGTGTGACTCTCTCTCTCTCTCGCTCTTGCTCGCTCGCTTGCTCGCTCGCTCGCTCGCTCTCTCTCACACACACACACACACACACACACACACACACACACAGGAATGATAAAACAATCTCCCTGTCTCTTTGCAGTGCCTTATTCTTCAGACATGGCAGTCCAACATCAGCCAACTCAAGTAGTGACGGTCACAACCAATCAGGGCATCGGGAACTGGAGCACCGGACTCTGTGACTGCTGCTCTGACATGGGAACATGTAAGTCCACCATAAAAAGACCCACCAGTAATTTACTTTTAGTTTTAACTAGGGATGTAAGAAAATATAGATATGGCAATATATCGTGATATTGTTTCCTGCAATATTATATCAATATTCCAAAGCTGTGTATCGAATCTTTGGACAAATTTAAATGCAAACATTTGTGTATTTCTTTTTTCTTTTGGTGCAATTCAAACTCTGACCCCTAGTTGGCAGCAGTGTGCTGTGGGTTTTGTTTCCACCGTTGAAATACAAATCCCTCTATTATGGTTCAGATACCTCATGTTAAACATGTAAACTATCAGTTTGGAGTGTTTATTGAATTTTCCTACAATAAATTCAGTCTAAAAATCACCAGTTTTGTCTGGCAGAATGTATTAGAATATATAATGATATATTGTATCGTAGGGCTGTAACGATTAGTCGATGTTGTCAACAAATATCGACAATAGAAATAGTCGACAATGAATTTCATTGTCGACATTGTCGCCAGACGTGTTTTTTCTGACCGAGTGAGGTATCTCACTTCATTACAATCTCTGCCGAGAGTCGCACATGCGCAATAGCTTCTCTGCTGAGCGGCAATTAACAGAAATGGCAGCATCCAACACCGCAGCTACGCGTACCAAAACATCTAAAGTTTGTGAGCATTCTAGCCTCGATTCTGTGAATAAACAGATTACCTGCATTATTTGTAAAGCAGTCCTTGCATATCACGGCAGCACCTCGGTGATGCATGAACACTTAAAGAGAAAGCATGTCGGACAGTTGAATGAAACAAAGTCTGACTCACCTCGGTAAGACTTAAATAACACGAAAGCCAAAACGTTTTCTTTTGGATGTACATTTTTTTAAACGTATTTTCGCTTTTAAAAAAGAGATTTAATGTTATGCCCGATTGTGCCTGACAAAAGTATTTTAATTTTATTTATGCATTTATGTCTGTACTGACTGGGCATCATGCCTAATTGGTGTTAGACAGGGCATTTTTATTTACTTTTAGTGTGAATTGGCCTATCAGCAGCAAAGTTCAATAAAATATGCATTTTCCATTGAAGTACCCATCTTTCTTGTGTTTATTATCATTTTTCACTTAATTAAAGCAATCTCATGCTAAATTTAAGAAAAATGTAATAATTATCCGATTAGTCGACTAATCGTTTCAATAGTTGGTGACTAGTTGACTATTAAAATAGTCGTTAGTTGCAGCCCTATTGTATCGTCTCCCCTTTACTGTGATACGTATCACATCGCCAGAATTTTACCCAAACACATCCCTAATTTTAACCAATTCAGAAAAAAGAATAAGAATTAGAAACCCAAAAAGTCGAAGCACGGATACTTTGGACACCCCTATGTCGTGCTAGCACCAGATGTTTTTGGTTTGGAAACGTTTACTAAGTGTAAATGACTCAAAGTGAGTTACTTTTAAACCCTTTTAGGGTTAGGTGTCTTATTTCCTAAACCTTTATTTTATCTTGTGCATTATTTGTGAACCAACGTAAACACAAACTGGGAGTCTGTTTTTATTTTGAGAGCCACAACAAACCACATAAGGGCATAAGTCACATGGGTCACATGACTAAATGTAATCACGTAACTCCACCCCCCACATAGTGATTAAAAATCAGGCAATTATGCTGTCAAAGCCACGTCCAGTGGATAAACCTTTGTTTTTGCACGGTGGGGTAGTTATTGTCCATTTATTGTTATTGTGGTGACCTGCTCACTATATCATCATGTTGATTTGAGGCCATATCACCCAGCACTAATGTCTAATGTTGCATACCAAAAGTCTTTGCTATCTCTGACCTGCTTTCCTATGCAAATTAGTAATGTTTTAATGGTCTCGGAGCACTGGTGTATTCTGAGGAACTGGTCATAAGCTTAGACACACCACCTCAAATCTGCATTTCCCAACCCACTTCGGCGTCGGCAATATATGAGCTTTGGTCGCAGTAAAGCTAACCGCAGAATAATGCTAGCTCGAACTAGTCCTAACGCTAGTCTGAGCTATTGCTAGCGCTCTTGTTTGAACAGAGCAAAACAACAGAGAAGAATTTTAGAGCTCCACCCACGTTCCTGGATGGACTGGGAATGTCAGGACTTTGAATGAGTGCCAGATAGATCTAGCCTGGCAAGCCAGACTAAATAAATGTATTATTTAGTCTGGCCACGCTCCATTGACGGCTCTCGGGTTGTGGGGCAGGTTCTACTGTTGTCTTTCAAATGATCTCCGCATTCCACTGGACAATGAATGTGACATACTCTTGTTTCACTCTGTTGCATCATCCCACCCACCAGGCATATAGAGTGCCCCGATTGGCCCACAAAGCGGATAAAGCTCTGTGATTTGTTCACTAAGCAGATAGAGCACTATGATTGGCCCACCATTATGGACCAATCACAGCTCTTTATGTGTTTGAAACCCCTCTAGAGAGCTGTGATTGGCTAGCCAGAGTCCTGGTAGGAGCTGCGGAGGTTCCAATGGAGCATGCAAAGCAAGAATTTGGTCTAGTTCACAAGGCTAAGATAGATCCACAGCCTGCAGTCGTTGTCCTCTTCCTCATTTGAATAATCATATAAAAAAATGTCAAAAACAGCTAAATTAAACTTATATACCCAATTTATAAGGAACAGTTTGTCTTTTCATGCTGAAAAACATGAAAAACAGGCTGGGCAATAAATCGAAAAAGTATTGTTATCAAAATTTCTGACTCTTATCGAGATAATTTTTGCCATGTCAGTAAATTTGATAATAAAAAAATGAAAATATGTATGTATAGGGTTTCCCCCAGCACTTTATAAGCCTGGTGGCCCGCCAGGCTAAGCGTCATGCCCCGCCCCCTACCCGGCCCTACCGTGTCCACTGATACAAACGGCACAACGAAACTAGAGCCCTCCATCAGCTGATACTGGTGAGAAACAGCAGCGGAACGTGTGCAACCCCCCAGCTCCACCCCCACTCTCACAGAGGAGTGCTGCAGGACGGAGTGCGTGACCCACCCCCCTCTCTGACGGTCGAATCTGCCAGGCTTAACTCTTTTCTGGGGGAAACCCTGGTGTAGGTTAGAAACGTTCATGTCCCTTTAAGAAGCTGTACCACCGTGAGTCACGCAAAAATGTGACTCAACATAATACGTGTGACAGCCCCATCTAGTGGACAACTTTAGTTTCTACACACCTGTAGTTATCGTCCATTTATCGTTATTGAGCTGAAATCCTCATTATATCATGACATTGATTTTAGGCCATATCACCCAACCCTAGCTGCAAATGCACACTTAAACCAATAGGAATGATCTATAACAGATCTTTAAAAATACAATCCAGTAAATCAGTGACAGTACACCACTGTGAAGTATAGCATTGGTTATTTATTTAAGTTTTTTAAATATTTTGAAGAGGTTTAGCCAATTTCAAATGATGTATTTGCACCATCACATTCCTGAGGTTTTACAACAGCTCAGAGAGGCAGGCTCAGTCGCACAGGGGGGCCTTAAATGGAAATCTCTTAGTGCCTAGGAGGAAAACAACATTAAGGCAGTCGGCCTTATTTGTTCAGGGCGCCAAACTGTGTAACTCACTGACTGCAGAGTTAAAACAGGTAGAACATCTAACCACTTCAGTGTACACGCTGGAATACCACAAACACACACTGCCACCAGACATGGGCCGGCCAGACACTATCTGATTTCAAATACAAATTAAAAATTGCAATGACTTTTGGATTGCCTATTGCAAATGGAAAGCAGGAATGACACACTTATTATTAACTTATCTCTTATCTTTATTCAGCTATTTGGATGTTTTCTGGTGTAGCCTTTCAGCTGTCCTTGCTTAATGAATCAAAGGCAACTGGGAGCTCTCTCCAGATGCTTTTGATTCACTTTGCTTGGATTTTCATTAAATTCAATAATAGGTAAACATGAACAAACCTATTAAACACATGTACAGCAACTCACTAACTTATTCCATATGAGAGTTGTCAGAAATCCCCTGGACATCTGCCTGCAGGAGGCTTACGCCCAGTCCAAGTGCTCACAGATGTTTTATATAAAACCAGAACCTTCTGCTTTGTTGAAAACTCACCAAACTGTTTGTCTTATCACTCGAAAAGGAATTTCCTGTTACTAAACAGAACAGTGTGACTGTCGGCTAACAGTTTCCTCTAAATGTGTGGCTAAAGCTGTTTTTATCAGTAACAAAAGATGTGATTCTTTAGCCATCACTTTTGATACATTCAACATGAGATGAGTAGGTCTCTTGCAAATCTGCCAATGTTTAAGGTTTTGTGTTAAAATAATCTTCAGGGTCTGCCGCTTCTGCCTATGTTTGCATGGAAATGTAACAAGATACGTGGGTAAGTACATAATACGTCTTACCAGCAATGTTAACACCCACAAGTAGTTGTGTTCTTTATCTCAGGCTTTCTGTGCAAACAAAATGACGAAGGATGCAAACTGAAATAAAAATGCATTAAAAACCATGCAGGATATAAATCACTACAAAATGCACTTGAATATCAGAGTCTGCATAGTCTAGAACTTTGTGAACAATGTGTTAGAAGGTACAAGATTAAAGATAAGAGGAAAACAACTGGCTGTGGAGAAAAATAAGTTAGCCATTTGTTTCTGGAACGCATCGTGTTTAGAGATTAAATAAAACCAGTGACCCTAGCTTATGCTGGACCTTCACCAACTCTTTCACAACACAACATTCCTCTGGCAAAGCAAACGGATTCATTCAAGTGTTTGTAGCTTCCACGTTTGAATCCAGGGGCTCAAACTTCCTCTTTGAGACCTGAACTCTGTTATTTTCACATGTAAGAGATGAGAGTGATAGGGAGAGAAATCTGATACAAGTTTTAGTGTCTTTGCTTGACTAACCATTTGTGAAGAAACCCACTGAAATGGAAACTAAGAAGTGATTCAATACAGAATTCTGTGGAATTGTTGTGTAAGAAAAAAAAAGGAATTGTTGTGTAAGCCTAAAATTCAGTTGCATCCCTGATGGCTAACTTTTACTGTTAGCATTAGGTGGGACCTTAAACTAATATAAGGTTAAATCAGTCTAGAACACTGTTGGTTATTTATAAAAGATGCGGGTGCATTATGGCTTTTTACCAACAACTACTGGCACAACAATTCAAATAAATTCAAGTTTATTTATATAGCGCCAAATAGGGTTGTCACGGTAACCTGTGTAGCGGTAAACCCCGGTAAAAAAGTTGACAATAATAATAACCGTCTTGTTTTAAAAAATATATATTATCTCGGTGGATTACAGTGGCTTCGGTAGGTGTGGTGACCCTTACCAGCCACCGTATCATCTGCTGAAGTTGCTGGCGGCACATGCGCACTTTGTTGTTTACAACAAAAACGTTCTTGAAGCTAAAGCTGATGGCCAAAGGAGGAGACGGCAGCGCTCAGGACATTTATTATCCCTCAAAGAAGACAAAGTGGGAAGTACGGGCATTTTTTAGGGATATTTGAAGAATGCCGAGGGACAGTTGATAGAAGACGGCTATCCTGTTTGCAGCACGTGCAGAAAAAGTGTCTGTGGAAGGCAGCAACGCTTCAAATCTCATGACACATCTGCGTGACCATCACCCACAACTCTACAGTCAACGCAAGGCAAGCTAACGTTAGCGTTTTAGCCAAAATGCGTGATCTGAGGATTTGGGTTGAGGGAGAATGCAACAAGTCGCTATATAAAGCATCCGCAGCGCCGCTACATGCATATAAACCGTGTCGCGGACACCCCCATGTTGAAATGACGCTATGCATTACGGGGCTCCCAGGGGCAGATAAGAGTTGGTCTCTCTCCGAGAATAATTATGAATTTAACAATGATTACTGCCTGATGACATTTTCCCACATCTGCAAAGCTCACTGGAAGGACACAAACCGAGGACAATATTTTCCTGATATAGGGTTTATTACTCAAGTACGGGTAAAAACGTATCTGATTAGAAGGCTACTTGAATACTGAGTATCATCTGAGCTAATATTTTTAAAATGATGACATCAAACAAACAAAAAATAAGAAGTTATGGGCAATTATTGGTATTTTAAAAGGGGAAAATGTAAACAAATAAACAACATAATTACAAAAAAAAAACACATTTTAGGCTAAATTTAGACACAAACTGCGGACAATATTTTCCTGATATACAGGGTTTATTTAGTTGTCTGAAAATGTAACACGTTTAAAAAAATACCACGATAATACCGAAAACCGTGATAATATAGTCACAATAACCGTGAGGCTCAATTTTCACACCGTGACAACCCTAGCGCCAAATCACAACAAGAGTCGTCTCAAAGCACTTCACATAGTAAACATTCAAATTCAGGTCAGTTCATTAAGCCAACCAGAAAAAAGTTTCCTATATAAGGAAGCCAGCAAATTGCATCAAGTCACTTACTAGTGTCAGTGACTTTACAGCAGTCCTCATACTAAGCAAGCATTTAGCAACAGTGGAGAGGAAAACTCCCTTTTAACAGGAAGAAACCTCCAGAGGATCCTGGCTCAGTATAAGCAGCCATCCACCACGATTCACTGGGGATGGAGAAGACAGAGCAAACATGCACACACAACATATATACCAAGCAATGTTTTGATGGTTTCTTTGTGATTTCTTAGTTAAAATTCAACTTAGTGCAGGGTTTCCTCCAGAAAATGAGTGAAGCCTGGCGGATCGGACCGTTGGGGGGGGGGGGGGGCTTGGTGTATGAATTCCGAGTTCCGTTGCTCGTCTGTGACAGCGTGGGGGTGGGGTTGGGGCGGTGCTGTTTCTCACCAGTATCAGCTGATGGAGTGCCCTACTTTTGTTTCATTGCCGTGCGCCGTTCGTGTCAGCGGACACGGTAGGGTCTGGGAGAGTGGGGCATGATTCTTAGCCTGGTGGGTGACCAAGCAAAGCTTGGTCACCCACCAGGCTTATAAAGTGCTAGGGGAAACCCTGTAGTGAGAGATAAACTTTATTGTATTTATCCAAGTGAATCTATAATTAAATCGGTAAACTAGTAATAGCACATTCTATGTCAAAGAAAGAAAAATGTTATTATCAGGAGAGGGAAAATGTTTAAGTGGTTAGCAACAGTGTTCAAGCCGATGGCCCCCTCCACGAGGCTACCACAAATCAGCAACAAGGATTCATGATCATTTATTTGTCACATTGAATCTTTTTCTAACCTTTTAAAAGATTTATTTATTCCTTTTATCTCTTGGTAGATTGACTTCATGAGGGGATAATTATGTCATATCTGAATGTGTGAATTGTGCTTGTGATGCTCATCCTGACTGCTGTTGTGCTCCGAAAATCCCAACGAAGAATATTTAACTAAACAACACCGAACTGAACACGTTCTGACATGACATGTAAACCGGAGGAATAACTAGAAACACACTAAAGCAAATAATGTCTCACGGTGTCTCGTTTCACACAAAGCTAGTAGAGGTTTTAAAGAAATAGCTGAACTATGGGCTAACACATTCAGATCTATCTGGATAATGGGAAAATAATCTGGGAGAATTTATATCTGTTAGTAGTTTTTGCTGAATTTGTTTCAAAATGAAATTGAAAACACAAAAGAACTACAAATAAAAACAACAACACTACACTAGACTAAAGGTCTTTGTCTCCTAGACAATCACAGAACAACCCATCCAGTCTCCAGACATCTGCTGCTAATTAAACGTTGCATATAAAATGTGACCCGTTTACAGATGGTGTTGATCATCCACCAAAACTACTGTGAGAGAAATGCTCTGCAACATTTGGAAAAGTTATATATTTTGTAAAGGCAATACACGCTGGTGAAATGTATTTCCCTGTGTTTGGGTTGCTAAACAAGCTGTAATAATCAGAAACAGATCTTTGGTTTCCTTTAGACTTCAGGAAGTGAATCACCTAGATGTTTTCTTCAAAGTTGTACATTCTTTATCCTCCTGACTGGTTTTAGCATGCATTGTTGTTTCATGTGGTGAATTGCTAATCTTTTTGTTTTTCATTTGCCTGCGATAAATTTTACAAACAGAAAGCCTCAATTGGCCTGGCGAGCCATCCTATATGTGTGAGTATATAGTCGGGCCACCATAGACGGCTGTCAGTGGTGGGGCGGGATCTGTGGTTGTCTTTTAAACTGTTTCTGCATGCTTTTGGACAATGAGCAACGTGGCAAACTCACCACTGTGGATGTCAGTCAACAGGGCAGTCCACCATACTCTGTTGAAGAAGACGCAAATACATCCGTTTTCTAAATAAAGGACTTAAGTACCTCTATTTGCACTTGACTCAATCACCAAACCAATAGAATTCTGTGATTGGCCCACCAAACCGATAGAATAGTCATTGGCCCACCAAACTGATAAAGCATCGTCATTGGCCCACCAAACCGATAGAACGCTGTGATTGGCCCAGCAAACCGATAGAGCGCTGTGATTGGCCCACCAAACCGATAGAGCTCTGTGATTGGCCCACCAAACCGATAGAACACTGTGATTAGCCCACCAAATCTATAGAACGCTGTGATTGGCCCACCAAACCGATAGAGCTCTGTGATTGGCCCACCAAACCGATAGAACACTGTGATTAGCCCACCGAAATCTATAGAACGCTGTGATTGCCCCACCAAACCGATAGAACTGTTGAAGTTAAACTGGCCTGACATGTCTGTAGCCATGTGTTGAGTTAAATGTTGTTCTGCCCACCAGGCTGCTGTGCTCTCTGGTGCTTCCCCTGCATGCAGTGTCAGACTGCCGGTGACTATGGCTGGTGTTGCTGCATGCCGCTGCTGGATTTCTGCTGCATTGTGTCCTGCGTACTGCGCTCTGGCATCAGAGAGCGCCACGGCATTCCTGTAAGTCTGAGGGCATGTGTAAATGATTTTCAGATGCTTAATATAAATGTGACTTTTTCCACTCATTTCAGCCGCTTGTATCTGTGATCTCGTTCTTTCGGTCACTACCCAAAGCTCATGACCATAGGTGAGGGTAGGAACGTAGATCGACCGGTAAATCGAGAGCTTTGCCTTCTGACTCAGCTCTCTCTTGACCACGACAGACCGGTACAACACCCGCATCACTGCAGATGCAGCGCCAATCCGCCTATCGATCTCACACTCCAGTTTTCCCTCACTCGTGAACAAAACCCTGAGATACTTAAACTCCTCCACTTGGGGCAGGACCTCATCCCTGACCTGGAGAAGGCATTCTACCCTTTTCCGAATCAAGACCATGGTCTCAGATTTAGAGGAGCTGATTCTCATCCCAGCTGCTTCACACTCGGCTCTGAACTGCTCCAGCGAAAGCTGAAGATCACGTTCTGATGAAGCCAACAGGACCACATCATCTGCAAAAAGCTGAGACCTGATCCTCAGGCCACCAAAACAGATGCCCTCCACACCTTGGCTGCGCCTAGAAATCCTGTCCATAAAGGTTATGAACAGAATCAGTGACAAAGGGCAGCCTTGGTGGAGTCCAACTCTCACTGGAACGAGCATGACTTACTGCCGGCAATGCGGACCAAGCTCTGACACCGATCATACAGGGACCTAACAGCCCATATCAGAGGGCCTGGTACCTCATACTCCCGGAGTACCCCCACGGCCCCCCGAGGGACGCGGTCAAACGCCTTCTTCAAATCCACGAAACACATGTAGTCTGGTTGGGCAAATTCCCATGCACCCTCCAGGATCCCCCAAAGGGTATAGAGCTGGTCCAGTGTTCCACGGCCAGGACGAAAACCACATTGCTCCTCCTGAATCTGAAGTTCAACAATCTGATGGACCCTCCTCTCCAGAGCCCCTGAATAGACCTTACCAGGAAAACTCACGAGTTTGATCCCCCTGTAGTTGGAACACACCCTGCGGTCCACCTTTTTAAATAAGGGAACCACCACCCCGGTCTGCCAGTCCAGTGGGACTGCACCCGATGTCCACGCGATATTGCAGAGCTGTGTCGGCCAACACAGCCCCACAACATCCAGAGCATTAAGGAACTTCGGGCGGATCTCATCCACCCCTGGAGCCTTGCCACAGAGGAGCTTTTTAACCACCTCAGTGACCTCAGCACCAGAGATTTGAGAGGCCAACTCAAAGTCCCCAGACTCTGCTTCCTCACTGGAAGACGTGTCGGTGGGATTGAGGAGGTCTTCGATGCATTCTGCCCACCGATCCACAGCGTCCTGAGTAGAGGTCCACAGCACACCGTCCCCACTATAGATAGTGTTTGGTAGCACACTGCTTCCCCCCGAGGTGCCGGATGGTGGACCAGAATCTCCTTGAAGCCGTACGGAAGTCTTGCTCCATGATCTCACCAAACTCCTCCCATGCCCGGGTTTTTGCCTTGGCGACCACCCGAGCTGCGTTCCGCTTGGACTGCCGGTACTCGCCAGCTGCCTCTGGAGTCCCACAGGCCAAAAAGACCTGATAGGACTCTTTCTTCAGCTTGACAGCATCCCTAACTGCCAGTGTCCACCAGCGGGTTCGGGGGTTGTTGCCGCGACAGGCACCAACGATCCTGCGACGACCACAGCTCCGGTCGGCCGCCTCAACAATGGAGGCACGGAACAGGGTCCATTCAGACTCAATGTCCCCTGGAACATTTTGGAACTTCTGTCAGAGGTGGGAATTGAAGCTCCTTCTGACAGGAGACTCTGCCAGATGTTCCCAGCAGACCCTCGTGATACATTTGGGCCTGCCTGGTCTGACCGGCATCCTCCTCCACCATCTGAGCCAACTCACCACCAGGTAGTGGTCAGTTGACAGCTCCGCCCCTCTCTTTACCCGAGTGTCCAAGAAATGTGGCCACAGGTCAGATGAAACAACAACAGTTAATCATTGAGCTGCGGCCTAAGGTATCCTGGTGCCAAGAGCACATATGGACACCTTTGTGTCTGAATATGGTGTTCATTATGGACAATCCATGACTGGCACAGAAGTCCAATAACAAAACACCACTCAAATTCAGATCGGGGGACCGTTCTTCCCAACCACACCTCTTCAGGTCTCACTGTCGTTGCCCACGCGAGTCCCCCAGCAGAACGAGGGAGTCACCTGAAGGAGCGCTCTCCAGCACCCCCTCCAAGGTCTCTAAGAAGGGTGGGTAGTCTGAACTGTAGTTTGGTGCATAAGCACAGACCACAGTCAGAACCCGTCCTCCCACACGTAGGCGGAGGGAGGCTACCCTCTCATTCACTGGGGTAAACCCCTAACGTACAGGCACCAAGATGGGGGGGCAACTAGTATGCCCACCCCTGCTTAGCGCCTCAGTGGGAGCAACTCCATAGTGGTAGAAAGTCCAACCCCTCTCAAGGAAACTGGTTCCAGAGACAGAGCCATGCGTTGAGGTGAGTCCGACTATATCTAGTCGGAACCTCTCAACCTCACACACCAACTCAGGCTCCTTCCCCACCAGAGAGGTGACATTCCATGTGCCAAGAGCCAGCTTCTTTAGCCGAGGATCAGACCGCCAAGGTCCCCGCCCTCGACTACCACCCAACACACATGGCACCCGACCCCTTTGGCCCCTCCCACAAGTGTTGAGCCCATGGGAAGGGGGACCCACGTTTCATCTTCAGGCTGTGCCTGGCCGGGCTCCATGGGTGAAAGCCCGGCCACCAGGTGCTTGCCAATGTGCCCCACCTCCAGGCCTGGCTCCAGAGGGGGGCCCCGGTGACCCACGTCCGGGCGAGGGAACACGGTTTCCATTTATATAATTCATCATAAGAGGTCTTCGGGCTGCTTTGTCTGATCCCTCGCCTAGGACCTGTTTGCCATAGGTGACCCTACCAGAGGCATAAAGCCTCAGACAACTTAGCTCCTAGGATCATTGAGACACTCAAACCCCTCCACCACGGTAAGGTGGCAGCCCAGGGAGAAGATAAGCGATTTATGTTGCAGTAAAATGTTGAAGATTAAGTCTAATTCAAAGTGTTCATGTAATGGATACATTTGATACATGCTTTTCTCTAATTAGTCCTATGTTCATTCTTTCGTATAGTGAAGTTCTGTGAGTTATAATCCTTCAAGGCCAAGCTTGAACTTATGCCTGTACAGGTCAGAGTGTAGCTATCCAGCTCACACTCCTTCCTAGATAAGAGTCCAGACGGCACTTCACCATTATAAACCGCCCTTTGTTTTCCCCTGGGGGGGGGGGGGGGGGGGGGCTGACAGCGAGTGACGTCTCTGCTGAACAAGACTACTAACAGGAGTAGAATAGACTTTATTGTTCCCATAGTGGGGAGATTCTCTCGTTAAGGCAGCACATACACTTAGAGAATAGGAACAAAATAATGCAGGTAAACATACAAAGGCAATAGGCATTCGTTAGTTTCATCACGGTACAATATTATATCAATACAGAGGACTGCAACTTGGTGTTCTCTGATATCTCCAATTCAGTCACAGTTCCATTTGCATTTGATTCAGTTAAGGATTTACCGATATATATGGAACAAATTTACAAGTGGTTGAACACAATCGTTTCAGTTCATCACAACTCACAAGAAGTATCAAAGCTCAGGCATTGGAATCAGTCCGTTTAAAAGTGAAAAAAAAAACAGCTCTTTTAAGAAAAACTAATTTCTAAATAAAGCTATTTTCAAAATAAAAATGCATTTAATACCTATGACACAAATGTTTGCACTTTGGATTCATGCCATTGGCTCATTGACCATATAATCGATGTAGATCAATGTATTTTACACTCCAACTGAGAATCTTTCTTGAATTTTGACTAAATCAAGAAAATATGACAGAAGAAAGAGTAACCCAGATACTTTTTCTTGTAGCTGAATATAGACAAAATTTAAGACCAAAAAAGCTAGAAATATATCAACCAATCTATCAAATCTCTGTCAGGAAAAGGTACGAGACCCTTTTTTTTGCCCCCATCTACAAGTTTCACGAATCTTTTCTACACAAGACAGTTTTTAACTGTTCTTTTCATGAAATTATTGCATTTTTACTATTTTATCAGTGAAATATAACAAAATCTAAATCATTTTTTAGATGGAGAAAAAATGGAATTTTTGTGGCCCCTGAGTACTTTCAGCTTGTTGATTTTGGCTCTTGCATGGAAGATTTTGGACACCCCTAGTTTAGACAGAATTATACAGGGGAAGTTATCAGACCAGTATAATCCAGCAGTTGTGGTCACAAAAGGGATATCAGATTCAGCCAATGTGACTCAATCCCAATCCCATGCCAAATACATGGAAAACAATCCTTTAGACTTCAGGAAGTGAATCACCTAGATGTTTTCTTCAAAGCTGTACATTCTTTATCCTGCTGATAAAGAATGTACAGAAACAGATCTGTACATGTACATGTACGTTTAGCATGCATTGTTGTTTCATGTGTGTATGCTTCAGTCAACACTGGACTTAGATGCAAAATAATACAAAGAAGACAAAAAATATATATGTAAAGTATTTAGACTGAGCTGTTCTACAAGGTCAGGGTAAGTTTATTTTTATAGCACTTTCCAGTTACATGAGCAACCTCAAAGTGCTGAACAGAATAAGAATCAGCATAAAAACAAACTATTGCTGCAAAACAGATAAAAGCACAAACATCATAGTGCAATACAACAAAACCACACAATAATTAAAAGCAGTCAACTAAAATTTAAGCCACAATACCCGTTTGGAAACAGATCTTGTTTTGAAATTACTGAAGACTTTTATACAGCTCAGATTTGTGAACTTCAACTTCTGACTTTTATACAGCAGCTGAATAGTTTGGGTTGTGGGTTATAAACGTAAAAATAAATGAGTCTTTTCCTGATGATGTGGGTAAAAAAACCTGTAGTTCCCCTTTCGAACAGTAGACGCCACTAGTGAGAGAACAGCAAGAATGGCAGCAGAAGAAGAGTTCCATTTTTCATACTTGAATGTAACTTTTTCAACTTTTATGAAGGTTGATGGCTGAATTAAAACATTTTACAGACTTTTCATAAAAGTTCATCAGATTTGATTTGATTGAAGGGGAACAGTCTTCAGTTGTGATTTTACAAAGTTCTTATTTTACCCCTGAGTGGTTTTCAGGAGGAAGTGGAAGTGCATAACTAGCAATTATACTTCTCCATCGAAGGACTAAAATGTAGTTCAAACTGCAGCTGTGAAACCTCGGTCAACTGTACAAATAAAAGTTGTTTTGCATCCCAAACATATGTAAATAAAATAGGCAAAAACATCAGACATTTAAAACACTTTTATTTGCAGCATAAATACTGTATCCACGTACTGTATGTCATTAGAGATATTGTAATTTAATTTGCTGTAAGCTTGTTTTTCTAAGGTGGAAATTTCTAACCATTTGACAACACCCTCCCTACCACCACTAAGCGCGCACACACACACCCTTCATTAATGGCCTTTAGACCAGGAACAGTGTATGTTCTATGCTCCACATTCAAACCATCCAAGCATAGTAAAAGCTATGTAAATAATGTTGCCATGACTGTAGCCTGAGAAAACAGTTTTTTTTTCTAAAGTGCAAACACAAAAACTATAAGTTATTGTTGTGCAACAGTATTCTCCTGTACCTCCTCTATTAAACAGCCCTGGTTCCTGTACTTCAACACACACAATCTACAACTATGAATCATTTTAAGACTTCAGAACCTCACTATATGCTTTAGGGTTATGGTATTCTATTCTCTCAACTTGATGTGTTTGAGCAAACATGCCAGACAGAAATCCCTCAGGACCAGTAATAAGAAATGCAGCTATAACATGTCAAAGTCATTACCACCCACTGCCCAAAGGTGAGGACAGCGAAAGCATAAATGACGTAAACGCAATTAATTTTACTCATGTTGAGCTAAGATATTTTTTTATTTAGAACGTTTGCATCAACTGTTGGAGAAAACTGCAACAGGTCTAAAGAACTAATACACAAAATTCAGTAAACCTCATACGGACTATTATGATTATGTTTATGCATTTATGTATTTAGCCGACGCTTTTGTCCAAAGTGACTTACAAGTGATAATCGGCATGTTGCCCTTGAGGCTAACAACAATAACTTGACATCAATCATGGAGAGGAGGGAACAAGGAGTGGACGGTAGAGAGGGGGACGGGTGCAGGGAGGGTGCTAGTTAAGAAGATGCTCTCTGAAGAGCAGGGTCTTCAGGAGTTTCTTGAAAGTCAAAAAGGAAGCTGCTGTTCTGGTAGTGCTTGGAAGGTCATTCCACATTTGTGGAACAATGCATGAGAAGAGTCTGGATTGTCCTGAGCGTGGTGTAGGCACTGCTAGTCGACGATCCTGTGATTACCGGAGCAGCCGGGCCGAGACGTAAGCCTTTGCAAGAGGATTCAGGTAGATGGGAGCCGTACCATCTCGGACTTTGTATGCTAGTGTTAGCAATTTGAATTTGATGCGTGCTGCTAGCGGTAACCAGTGGAGCTCAATGAACAGAGGGGTGACGTGTGCTCTTTTTGGCTGACTGAAGACCAGACGCGCCGCTGCGTTCTGGACCATTTGAAGAGGTCTTACAGTACAGGCTGGAAGACCAGTTAGAAGGACATTGCAGTAATCGAGGCAGGATATGACAGTAGATTGCACCAGGAGCTGGGTGGCATGTTGTGTTAGGTATGGTCTGATCTTTCGTATGTTATACAGCGCAAAGCGGCATGAACGAGCAACAGAGTCAACATGATCTTTAAAGGTCAGGTGTTCATCAATCACAACATCCAGATTTCGAACTGCCTTTGAAGGAGCCAGAGATAGGAAGTCATTTTGGATTGAGATTTTGTGCTGTATGGATGGGCTATTCATTGGATGTTCAGCTATAAGTAACTAGCTTTTGGAGCTATTTAATTCTGTTCCTCTTTAAACACAAATGCAACTAGAAATGTCTTTTTAAATTAATTTCTCAGTGGTTTTTAAGACCATTGCAACATTGTCACTATTTTTGGATACCTTGGTAAACCTCATAGACTCCTTGACCCGTGATGTAACACGTCCAAGCACTGAGGCCTCAACGGCACACATTTACGTAACTTCAGTTTTAGTTTTGATGTGGCTTCACTGATACCTTTTTTAAATGAAAAGTTTTTAAAAATAACCCTGTTAGGTGCTGAATGCAGATGATGTAACAACTGCAGTAACTATGAGAGTAATCCACTTTCTTCCTCTGGCAGGGCTCGTGCTGTGACGACTGCTGTAAAATAACGTGGTGCTACCCCTGTGTCTGGTGCCAGATGAACCGTGAGATGAAGATCCGGGGCAGGCACCAGTTAACCAACACTGTGGTCACCACGCAGGTCATGAGGGGATAGAGTCCAGAGCACATTGTTTCTGTTTGGATGTCATTGTATTTTTATTTTTATTTTACAAAATATCAGTAGTGTGGTAACTTTAAGTCAAATTTTAGAGGAACTATACCGTTCTATTTTAAAACGTTTAGAGTAATTTTTGGGATGACCTCTTGCAGCAAAAAATTTATTTTCACGTTCTAAACATTGTTTAAAGTGCAGACTAGATCAGAAAGAAAGAGTTCCACACTACTTTGATGGGGAGGGGCATACGCAATAGCTTAGCAGACCTGAAGAGAAGCTGCAGCCCCAAGAGAATGCATGCAAATCACTTTAAGGGTGTTTTTCAGGAGGAAATAACAATATAACATGGTGAAAAGCCACAAAATGTGGCTTTTCCATGATATTGTCCCTTTAAACAAGAGTCCAGTTATTTCATTCAGAACATAAGTATGTAAAACAAATCATTATCTTGTGAGTAATCTTTTAGTTTAAACCATGCAATATTAAGGGTTTTATATACTTCACTGTTCTGTTCTTATGTGCTTCGGATGTTTTGTACGTTTGACTGAATCCTCACAATAAAGCCATTCCTTCATTGCTTTGTTGGTGATATCCCATTTCTTCTTTTACATGTATAATGATGTTCCTGGATTATATCATGCAATACCTGTCATGAACTAGACCTCTGTTGGTTTGCATTAAGAAATAGTTTGTTAAACATCTAAGGAAGTGATGTGTCATTCTCTATCAGATTCAACAAGGTGTGGTAGAATATACACTCATTATAGCAACTCCATTAGGTACAACAATGCATATGCTTATTAGCACAAATTTCTAATTGGCCAGTCACAGTGCCTCCCATTTAATTATGACAAGTTAAATACTAGCAATGATAAAAATATAATTTTTTCCTACTTGTACACATTTGTTGTTGGTGTAATTTCAATCTTTTATGGTTCAAATTACTAAATTGGAGAAGCTGTAATTAATAAAGGAACAGTAAAAGAAACCTAACCTTATTGACCCTTTGGGTATCCAGGGCTTACTTCAAGCAAAGACACAAAAAAGACCCAACAAGGTTGTTATTATGTTCCATATAAAAAGTTTCTTATGTTGGACCGAGGGAGTGAAAAGGTATTTGTACCCAGGACCCACTGCCATGAGAGATCCTCAAGTCAACCCAATGTAAGTTTTTCCTTACATTTTAAGAAATGTCTAAAAACCATGTCTTACCCCAAAATTCCACTATCTCCGCTCCGGCACAAACTCCGCAGCAAAATCGGCCCGTTGTAGTCAATCGGAGCTGGTCCACTACTGCGGCCCTGCGGCGCAGTGCGCCGCCCGCCGTTCCGCCATCCGGCAAAAATAGGATCGACTATTTTTGCCGGACGCCAGAGCACCTCCGCAGTCAATGGACAGAAATCACAACCGCCAACAGGAAAGGGAGCAAGCACAACTTCCGTTATTTCACAATAAATCGATCAACAAAAAGCGTTTTTTGTTTCATATGCACAGGTTTAACAACCTTTAACAACTATCAAAGGCAGCTGAACTTTAAATGCACAAAAATAAGCCATAAATACAGTTTCTACTATCAAAGTACTCACCCTTTGTTGATCCAAACACTGCTGATCTCTCAACACAAATGATGGGCAGATTAAACAGTTCATTTCGATGCTTCTCCCACACAACGGGCGTATGGATCTAACTTCCGCGTTCATTGCTCGGACTGTATCGCAAGATCTCGAAAATCCCGCGCATGCCTGTTTGCGCACCTCAGGTCTCCGCACCGGAGCGGAGCCGTTGTAGAGCGGGTACCAGTAAAAATTGAGTTCGGAAGCGAGCGGCTGCAGAAGGTGGGGGCGGAGCGGAGTGGAGGTAGTGGAATCTTGGGGTTAATGAAGTTACTCATCATCAATATGTTGTCAAGAGACTTAATTTCACTTTAATAACAGAAATGTTTTTCCCCTCTGAGCTGGTTTGGCCTACAACTGCACTTGGTGGTTTGACTGAGTCATTCCTTTACTCAAAAAAGGAAGTGGCTACTAAAAAGAAACGGAAAAAGGGGATGCACTAACAGAGATGAAACATCTGCTTATAAATTTGTTGGAGAACAGAAGTGAGGAGCAAAAGTATTTGAACACCCTGTGATTTTGCAAGTTTTCCCGCTAAGAAATCATGGAGGGGTCTGAAATTCACATTGTAGGTGCACTCCCACTGTGACAGACAGCATTTTAAAATATTAGGAAATGACATTGTATGAAACTTTCCTCGCGGGGTCCTACCCACTAGGACAGTGGGAGGGTTAACTCAAGGAGAAGTGGAAAATGAACATATTTGCCCAAATGGTGGTGTGTTACTTTAACATCAACAATTAAAGAGCAGACAAATAGTAAATTACATTGTGGATGTGGACAATGCTCTAACAGAGTGAGCCATCTGAATCCACCACTCTATCAGATTTTGAGTTACACATGTAACATCAGGTCATTTTTGACTCTGCAGCGTGGGTGATAGTTTAGACTCATCAAGACCAAGTAAGATTTTCTGCGTGAACTCAAATGTGTTGGTCAGTCCCTTCGGATAATCTAGGTGTAAGGCATAGATGAGGCCGAACATTACCAGGAAGGCATCAGGAAGCCTGGAGAGGTTGACAATCACATCACCCTCTAGGATAACAGATTCTCACTGGGTCGTACGTAACTGGACTCTCGGCATCATCGATGATGGTCGTCAGGACAACTGCTGCATCCCTGAGGTCCGGCTCATTGGTATCATCCTTACAAAAAGGAAAGGGAGATCATACACTAATCACATTTGAACTGAAACTCTGACTGTGGCCATTTTTATTTCAGTAGATTGTCATGTAAAAAACAATAAATGCAGTCTGATAGACTCCTGTTTAGGGCTGGGCAACATATCAAAGATTTATCGTTATCCAAGTTCTTGTCTCGCATCCAGATCATTTTTCCTATATCAATAAATTTAATAAAAAAATGAAAAGATGTGTAAGTTGGCCACATTTATGTCCTTTTAAGAAGCTGTAGCACCTTGAGTCATGTAAAATTTTAGTCAATGTAATACATGAGACAGCTCCATCTAGTGGACAAATATTGTTGCTGCGCATTCCTGTAGTTATCGTCTACTTATCGCTATCGAGGTGAGAACTTCAATATATCGTGATATTGATTTTAGGCCATATCGCCCAGCCCTACTCCTGTTCATTCTGTTGCTTTGTGCTCTCATTTACGAATAAAGTGAGATGGCTTCAGTGTGTGCCTGTGTTATGCTAATGAAAGCTACTTGAATTCTTTGCAGTGATTGTTAATTTTTCTCAGTGCCTTAAAGCCTGCCACACATGAGGGCCATCTGCTGAGCAAACGGCCTCGAATGACCGCTTGCTCAGCAGATACCTCGCCATGTGCGCCTGATTTTCACAGAGTTTTCCGCCTCACGAGACGCTGAGGTGAATAACTGACCAGTTAAGATATTTTCCGCCTCACAGGCGTAAAAACTCGCCGTGTGTGCATTACTGAGCTGCTGGTTGAGCTGAAATATTCTAGTGGACAACCAAAGCACGTTCTCCGCTCACATGACCCCAAGATGGCAGCCCCCTGTCTGCATGTCAGAAAAGAAACAAAACAGAGACAGAGCTGGAAACGGAGGAAATGCCTATCCTTTTTTGTTGTTGATGAAGCGTAGCCGCCACCGGCATTTCAAGGTTAGGAAAATATGGGTACAGTAGCTGGAAAGATGGACCAGGCAAGGAGTTTATGCCAATTTACTCCAAGAGATGCACCTGGAAGACCCAGAATCCTTCCGAAAGGGTAATGGAAACAGTGGGCCCATCGATCCGCAAGGTACCGTTTTGTTTATTTTTCAGACACGCAGACAAGGTAAGGGGCTGCATCTGAATACATCTTGGGGTCATGTGAGCGGAGAAAGTGCTTTGATTGGCCACTAGAATATTTCAGCTCAGTAGTGCACACACGGCGAGTTTTTACCCCTGTGAGGCGGAAAATATCTAACTGGTCAGATATTCACCTCAGCGTCTCGTGAGGCAGAAAACTCACTGAAAATCAGGCGCACATGGCGAGCAATCTGCTGAGCAAACAGTCATTCGAGGCCGTTTGCTCAGCTGATTGCTCTCGTGTGTGGCAGGCTTAAACATCTTGCCAAAGGTTTGTAGTTGAAACAATGGCACATTTTCCAAAATGTTCATGTGTGTTGTCCTTGTGTTGTCTTTATGCATAAATAAATAGAATGATTTGTTCAAATTTACAATACTGGGACTTACCACACATGTCCTCAAAAATCCAGAGGTTTCCTCACGTAGATAGACAGGAAGGGCATGGAGAACAGTGGTACGCCTTGTGTGGACATCATGTAATTCCTAAGAAGATTAAGAGTGTAAATACTGTCAAGTTTACTAATCAAACTCAATGCCAAATTGCTCTGACCAATTTTCCAAGACAGTGATATCTGCATCTAAATCCAATGATAAACTGCTGAATTCAAAAGTTAATTTGAAGTGTTTAACATTACATAATACGGGGGGGGGGGGGGGGGGGGGGGGGGGGGCACAGAACAAAAAAAAGATTTCTGAAAATAAATAAATAAAAGAAATAAATAACGTCACAATTCTGACATTTATCTCAGTATTCAATTGTTCCTTCAGTGGCCCTAATACTGCCTTAGTGCCCAAGAGTATTAGTCACTGAAGAAGAAAAAAAAAAAGATTTGAGAAAAAAGTCAGATAATTTTAGAATTCTGAGATTAAACTCAGATTTATGACTTATTTTCTCAGAATTCTATATTTTTTTCTTCAGTGGCTCTAATACTCATAGCATAAAGGCATTACCTGTAAATTGTATATTCACCTGTGCATCATGGGCTTTGAAAATGTCAGCCAAAGCACTTGCAGTCTTTCCAGTTTTGGAAGCTTTCTGTATGAATAAGGCCATCAAATGAGGAGTGTGGCGATCTAGCTGCGCATAAAAGGTGTTAGGAAGGTTCTGGTTTGTGATTCGTTGAAACTCTGCACACACCTGCATTAATGAAAGAACAGTACAATAAAAACAATTATTAATTTATGATGAATGAAATACAGCAATGCTACACGCAATGTGAAAAAGTATGGTCAAAGATAAAACCAGATGAAAGAGCTGATCCACATTACCTCAGCTGGCATATGAAGAGCAGGCCAGAGGTCCATCAGCTCTTTCACAGGAGGGCAGGACATGACTATAGTCTGTCGTCTCAAGGCAAATGTTGTCTGCATCATCCGGCTAATAACACATAGGTTTCTCTCAGTCTTCTTTACTTCCTCAACAATAGCCTGCCTCATACAACCCAGACTAGAGGGGTCTTCTCCTTGAGGAAAGTTAGGCAGGAAGTTCTGCACGCTTGGATGTTTGAATGGGAAGGTTCATTCTCTGGGTTTCTTTGGCTTCTTTTCCCAGCATTTACAGATACCTCCTGACATCCAGCTCTTCTCATCTTAGCCCTGTAATTTCCCTTTTTGAACTTGATGCTGTTTTTCCATCCATTCCAACCACTGTCGGATCCTGCTTCTTTTAAACATGATGTTTGCTCACA